GCTGCACACCCTGCTGCAAGCCTTGCTGCTGTGTGTCCAGCTGCTGTGAGCCCTGTTGCCAGCCCTGCTGTAAGCCCTGTTGCCAGCCCTGTTGCCAGCCCTGCTGTAAGCCCTGCTGCTGCAAGCCCTGCTGCTGCAAGCCCTGCTGCAAGCCTTGCTGCTGTGTATCCAGTTGCTGTAAGCCCTGCTGCCAGCCTTGCTGTAATCCCTGTTGCCAGCCCTGCTGTCAGCCCTGCTGCTGCAAGCCCTGCTGCAAGCCTTGCTGCTGTGTATCCAGTTGCTGTAAGCCCTGCTGCCAGCCTTGCTGTAAGCCCTGTTGCCAGCCCTGCTGTCAGCCCTGCTGCTGCAAGCCCTGCTGCTGCAAGCCCTGCTGCTGCAAACCCTGTTGCCCATCCAGCTGTTGCCAGCCCTGCTGCAAGCCCTGCTGCCAGCCCTGCTGCTGCAAGCCCAACTGCTGCCTCAAGCCCTGCTGCCAGCCCTTCTGCCTTGACCTGTGCTGCCAGCCAGCTTGCTCTGGACCTGTGACCGTCACCAGGACTTGCTACCAGCCCACATGTGTCTGTGTGCCTGGCTGCCTGTCCCAGGGCTGCGGGTCTAGCTGCTGCGAGCCCTGCAGTTGTTGAACAACATACATTAGCCCCACTATATAAAATAGCCTTCTACTATCAAACCTGCCTGATAACCACACTACACCAAACTCAGTGTTCTTACTCTGGAAAGAAGCCTTATGCTGTCTTACCACCAATATCCCATTAGTAGATTTGTGTCTTTTCTCAGTAAACACAACTTTATCTACTGTGTTCATCCTTATTCTTCTGGTTCTTTGTCAAAGCCACCTGTTGCTGACCTGGATTCAGTCTCAACCCTGGGAAATTTGCTCATTTCATTTTCAACTTACAGAAGGTTTGTAAAACCAAAAGTAAGAAAGCACTCTGATTTTTCCTGGTGTTAGTCATCCTTGCTTTTCCCTGTATTTATAATTATTCTAACTCATCTTGTAACTCATCCATAAAAACTTTGAATGCTCTGGCTAATTGGAAGGCCATTCTCTTTGGTTTACTAATAAAGTCTTCACTCAATTATCTCCTAAATCGATGTTATTTTGTGTGTGTATGTTTTGCTTGTCACATTATGTTGTCGCATCTGAGTCACATCGTAGTCTCAGACTTGGGCAGAGACAATGCGTGGGATGTGAGCTGTGTCAGGTCATGTAGCTAAGGATAGAAAACACCCCTACAGAGACTTGGACTTGCCCGTTGTAGCTCTGGTGTAGTAATGGGAACAACTTAAAGAAATAGAGGCACTGGGACTGAGCAATGGGAAGATGGGCATCACATGATGCTTTCTGCCATTTACCAGTCACCTTGGTAACCAGTAACCACTGAGTGGAAGAGATGATTTTAGGGGCCTAGAAAGTCATGTAAACTGTGTATAAAAAAGTCACTGGAGATGACTTTTAAATACTTTTTTTTTCCAATCACAGCATACTTGCTACTGTCTTGGGATTTTGAAAGTTTTTTACCATCTGTTGGGGGTGGAGGTGGAGAGGGTGTCAGAGGACAAATTGGAAGAGTCATTTCTCTCCTTCCACCATGTGGATCCTAGGGATCAAACGCAGGCTTGGAGGCAAGCGCCTTGACCTGTGGGTCCATCTCAGGATTTTGACGTGGGAGGACCATTTAGAAATTTTTGTAAATTTTGTAGAGATGGTATGCTCTTATTTTTCTGATTACCAGTATAAATGGCTGCATGGGGGAGGGATTGATTTGTGATAACACTGGTAACAGAAAAGTGAAAATTTTAATATTCTGCATGGAAAGGTGCAGTAACCGATTGATTTCCAGAGAATGATCTGTAAGTTGAGATAGAAAGTACTTGGAGTAAATAATATCTAGTACACATAATCCTCAAAGATATAGCCCAGGTGTGCTGAGGACACAAAAACCTTGAAGCTCTTGTAAGAACTATAGATAATCATCTCTTTGATCTTGAGGAAGGACAAGTCTTTATCACCAGAAAAAAAAAAAGAGTCAGATTTGGCTGTTACCATGTAGAGTTTGCAATCATCAGACACAGCAACAGAAAAATGAAAACCAAGTTGTAAACTTGGTGGTGCTTGAGAAACACAGAAATAAACACACATGACTGAACTCATAAAGGACTAGTCCATCTGAACAGAACTCAGAAAAGTGCAAATGAAGACTAAAATGAGGCCTCTTCTTAAACCAATATTAATGTTTTAAAACGATCTTGTTTCACATTTGGAAAAAGAGAATTTTGAAACTACTGAGTCAATAATTGGCAAAAGTAAAGTAAACATCCCTGTTCCCTCTCAAGTCTGGGTTTGAAAGGGATGTAGATGATTCTTGTAGTACTCGGGGGAACCAAGGAAGCCTTGAGTGAGTGCAGAAAGGGTGGGTGGATCCTGGGTGGGTGGATCCTGGGTGGGTGTACATTGTTGACATGGTTACAGTGATGTCAAGGACTCAATGCCCCAGAGCCATGAGAAACTAGCAAAACCCGCCTTCCCACCACACCCAGGGTGCAGACTCCCTCTATGCTGTACATAATAAACACAATGAGGCTCTGAGTTGTGTATTTGGTACCCTCCGACAGAGTAAACACAGGCCACTGGATCCCATCTTCACTGCATGTGTGTCTGTTTTAATTCATTCCCTCACACCCCAGCCAGGTCAAGACCCAAGCCTCCTGGAACATGGCACAGAATGTTTTGGGTCCTTGCTGTTTGGCCCTATTGAGCATCTTGGGCAGATTTTAACACATAGTATTCAATACATGTAGTCAGTCCTCCATCAGTGTCTTCACAATCAATAGTTCAATCCATCCAAGACAAAAATATTCAAAAACCAAATGTAACTAAATTGAATGCATTATTCTATGGACAACACAGTGGGACAATTACAGAAGTCACATTTACATTCTATTAGCTATTAGGGCTGTTGAGGTAAACTCAGTAGTAGAGAACTTGCCTAGCATGTGTGAGACCCTTGTTTAATGCCCAGAATTGCAAAAATAAGCAAGCATCCTTTTGATGCAATTATTATAAGTATCACAGAGATAACTCATGTAACATTTGTGGAAGAGTATGCATGTATTAAATTTAAATATGTTGGTAATTTGTATGAAAAGTTGAGTATATGAAGATTTTTATATCAGCAAGTCATCCTTAAAACAATTCCCCATGGATATTAAGAGACTAACATGTTTTGAACTGAATGAATGAATGAATGATGTTTTATGAGTTAAACAAAAAGTATCAACCTTCTACTACCCAAAGCACACTATATTTGAACTAAAGATTGGGAAATGAATCTAGGTTTACAATTGAACACGATTGGCCTGGCAGAACAATGGCAACACGAGCTGACATGCCAACATGGATTGGAGAAATACCACAAGGCCCCAGCCCCTAAATCAAGAACTATGAGCCATTAATAGTTGCTGAGAGAAGAAACATTCTTCACCAGAGACAAGCCCCCTAACAGGTTACCCAGTTTCAGTGGCCAGTCCTAAACACATATAAAAACAAGCAACAGTCAAGGGATTAAGCTTGTCACACTTACATATTTGCATACATATCATATGTTATGTATGATATATATCAAAGAGGCTATAATTTTGAGAGTGTGGAGGCATGGGAGAGGTTTGGAGACATAAGACAGGAAAAGATAGAGAGGATGAGTGATATAATTGCATTTTTATTAAAAATGTATAAAATAATAAATTAATATTATATGCAAATTTTTAAAGATTAAGATGGAGGTGCTGCTAATAAAGGACAGTTTTGCTCAAGGCCGAGACACACTCCTTTCAATTCTCCTCTCCCATTATTGTCGCTACCCTAGTTTCTTATCATCTCAGATAGGGGAAGTTAAACTCTAGAGGAGCAAATGATACTACAATGACACAATCAACAACCATTATAAATCTATAAAAATCTAAAAATCTTTATCAGTTAATTGGAGACCTGCCAGAACAAATAAAGAATTTTGAGGAAATATCTGAGATAAAAAGAATATTAAAGGAGTTTGGTTGATTTTTGCAACTTCTTTTCTCTCCCAGGTATGGTGGTTTAAAAGAAAACGAGGCCAGGCAGTGGTGGCGCACGCCTTTAATCCCAGCACTCAGGAGGCAGAGGCAGGCAGATCTCTGTGAGTTCGAGGCCAGCCTGGTCTACAAGAGCTAGTTCCAGGACAGACTCCAAAGCTACAGAGAAACCCTGTCTCAAAAAACAAGCAAGCAAATAAATAAATAAATAAATAAATAAATAAATAAATAAATAAATAAATGAAAATGAGAGTGACACTAGTGGGAGGTGGGGCCTTATCAGAGTAGGTGTGGTCTTGTTGGAGGAAGTGTGTCACCGTGGAGGTGGGTTTTGAGGTTTTATATGCTCAAGCCAGGCCAAGTGCTTTAGTTCATTTCCTGTTGCCTTTAGATCAAGATGTGAGGACTCTCAGCTCCAGCACCATGTCTGCTGCATGCTGCCTCACTTCCTGCCATGATGATAATGAACTGAACCTCTGAACTATAAGCAAGCCTCCTCCATTAAATCTTTTTCTTTATAAGAGTTATGTGGTCATGATCTCTTCACAGCAATAGAAAACCTAACTAAGACACTGGGCTTTGGTTGGTCTGAATTAGCATAGTAAGAGAAAGAGAGATTTTCATGAGATCACTTGATTGGCAATCAATCCCAGACTTATCATATTTATCATTACACTTAACCAAATAACCCATTAATAAACACTGATTTGTGTTTATCACGGAACTATTCACAACAGCTGAGTCATGGAATCAGCCTCAGTGTCCGTCAAGGAACGAATGGAAGAAAAAAGCATCTGTGTGCGTGTGTTCATACCTATGTGTCTGCCTGTGTGCATACCTGCATGTGTGCATATTATTTAGTCTTAAGGAAGAATGATGCATCTTGTTTGTGAAATAAGCCATTCCCAGAAGGATTAATACTGTATCTTTCCTTACATATGTGCCATCTGGATTTCTTTACAAGACACGAAAGTGGAGAGACACCACGTGGAAAGTGAAGGAGACCAAGAGGAGAGAAGAAATGAGAGAAGAAGGCATAGTAGTAGGTGCCAGATAAGATCAAAGTACACAGTGCACAAATATTAAAATGTCTAATGATATCCATCATTTTGTACAATTGATACAGGTTAGTTGATTTTTAAGTTAAATGACAATATCACTTATTACATGTAACACAGGATAGTATCAGCATGATTTTAGAACAACTATCAATATACATAAGAAACATAAAAGACTATAAACTCTATATCCTAGGGGAAAAAACTAGGTGGACATCGTTAAGAGGAACAAGGTAAGCCATAGTCTAAGAAACGACACTGGTAAAGCAAATAATAAAGACTGATACCTAGTGTAGGAGGTCTTTTTGCTTATGTGTTGCTTTCATTGGTTAATGAATAAAGAAACTGCCTTGGCCTTTTGATAGAGCAGAACTTAGGTAGGTGGGGAAAACAGAATTGAATGCTGGGAGGAAGAAGGGTGGAGTCAGAGAAACCATGGATTCTCTGCCTGAGATGGACACCAGTTAGAATCTTGCCAGTAAGCCACAGCCAGGTGGCGATATACAGATTAATAGAAATGGATTAAATTAAGATGTAAAAATTAGCCAATGAGAAACTAGAGCTAATGGGCCAAACAGTGTTTTAATGAATACAGTTTCTGTGTGATTATTTCGGGCATAAGCTGAACAAGGTATCCCTTCAAAGAGAATGTGCTCCTAATTGTCAGTTGAAGCACTATGAATAAATCCTGGTCCCACTGTCAGTGATCCCACAGATTACCCAAGTCTCACGACTGTCCCCTACATTCAGAGGACCTAGTTTGGTCCTATGCAGGTTCCCCCACTATCACTCCAGAGTCAGTGAGCTCTCACTAGCTCAGGTCACCTTTTTTAGTGGGTATCACCATTGTGGTCTTGAGCCCTTTGATCATATTATCACTCCTTCCTCTCTTGAGCTAGTCTCCGGAAGCTCAGTCCAGTGCTTTGTTGTGAATCTCTGTATTTGCTTCCATCAGGTGCTGGTTGAAGGTTCTATGATGACAATTAAGGCAGTCATCAATCTGATTACAGGGCAAAGTCTTTTACCTGTCCTCTCCACTGTAGCTTAGAGTCTTAGCTGGGGTCATCCTTGTGGATTCCTGGAAATTTCTCTAGTGCCATGTTTCTCGCTAGTCCTTTAATGGCTCCCTCAATCAAGGTATCTCTTTTCTTTATCTGACATGGAAACTTCTTAATAATTATAAAACCCCAGCCTTTAGCTTAGGCTTGTTCCCAACTAGCTCATATAACTCAAATCAACCTACTTCTATGTATCTATGTTCTGACACTTGACTTTTCCCTTTCCTCAGAGAGAGGAGGTCCCTATCAGAGGTTTTCTTCTCTGCCACTTCTCTGATCAATCAGATTTTAACTTCAGTATCTGACTCCCAAGTTTTATTTAATAATAGAACAAAATAAGTAATTGCTTCACGAGTTCATGAGTGTTTATAGCCATATCAAGTTCAGAAGTTTACATTTTACTGCCCTTCTTCCCCATTCTCCAGCCACTGTCTATCCCCTCTTCTGCTATATTCCTTAAGCCTAAGTGATGGTCTTGGGGGTGTTAAAAATAAGCTCTCAGGGTCAATATCGTTACTTTTAAAAGAACATTTGAAGCAACCTACGAGGGTTGACCAAAAACATAATTTATACTCCATAAACTTCACTCCAAAAATATATGAAAAATATTCACTAGCAGATGTGGACAAACACATCCATGAGAACATGATATACATTAGTCTAAGTGATTGAAATATGCCCATCAGAGGTGAAATATATTAATACAATTTGGTCCCATACTGCAATGATATCAACAAAATGATATCACAGTAGACAATGAAGTCTATAAATCTCAGAAACAGATTTGAGCAAAAGAAAACAAATAATATATGTGAAATGACTTCATTTTTAATAAAGATTAAAAATTGACAAACTATGACTTACATACTAGTTGTCTTAGGTAAAGGGACAGGGATAATACCATAATGACAGCCACCAGGTATGCCACTATTTCCTGACACAAACGCTGGACACATTGTCTTTATCATAATTAGTCAAACTACATATAAGAGTACTTGTGCTTTTCCAATACCATTTTATGTTTTAATTTCTTTTAATAAAGGTATATGGTTTGATCTCATAGAATTTAATTTCCTCGTTATATAAAGACAATGTGCTGGCTTGGGAATCTGACCTGAGTTTATTGGTCCTGCTGCTAAAAAAGATGAAGATCTAAATTGATTTATGCTTTCTAGACACTTATGTCATCTTGCTGCCTCTATCGACCCACATTGGGATTTGTTTGTATATGAAAGAGGCTGTGGCAACCTCACCTCTGTCCATGTATCCTGTGATAAAGGGGACGAAACACAGAAAGTGCCTGCTGCCTGTTGTAGGCTTTTCTGAACAAAAGCATTGGAGCCAGACATGAATTCAGTTTGTCACGGTGAGCACATCATTATCATAGTCTTTCTCCAGTCTCCATACAGCCAAAGGTACAGGATGAAGGACACCTATGACCCTGTGGCCTTGACATTTGTCACATGACTCAGGCAGGGATGACACTGATGATTTTCTACAGCCACTCCCCACAATTAGTTATTTAAAGAGAAGTGTCAAAGATGTGTAATATATTGAATAACTTCCTCCTTAGAGAATTTCCCCATGAGCCATTGTAAACAAACAACAACAGGAAAAAGTCCTGCTATGTCCAGGGTATAAAAGCCCCAAGATTAAAACAGTGGTCAGAATCTCAGGAACCCCTGTGAACAGAACCTCTCCTCCCACATCCAACACCATGACCAACTCCTGCTGTTCCCCTTGCTGCCAGCCTTCCTGCTGCAGGACCACCTGCTGCAGAACCACATGCTGGAGACCAAGCTGTGTGAGCAGCTGCTGCCAGCCCTGTTGCCAGCCCAGCTGCTGTGGCTCCAGCTGTTGCCAGCCTTGCTGCCAGCCCAGCTGCTGTAGGACCTGCTTCCAGCCAAGCTGTGTGAGCAGCTGCTGCAGCACACCCTGCTGCCAGCCCTGCTGCTGTGTGTCCAGCTGCTGCCAGCCCTGCTGCCAGCCAAGCTGCTGCCAGCCCAGCTGCTGCCAGCCCTGCTGCCAGCCCAGCTGCTGTCAGCCCAGCTGCTGCCAGCCCTGCTGCCAGCCCAGCTGCTGCAAGCCCAGCTGCTGCCTCAAGCCCTGCTGCCAGCCCTTCTGCCTTGACCTGTGCTGCCAGCCAGCTTGCTCTGGACCTGTGACTGTCACCAGGACTTGCTACCAGCCCACATGTGTCTGTGTGCCTGGCTGCCTGTCTCAGGGCTGTGGGTCTAGCTGCTGTGAGCCCTGCAGCTGCTGATCAACTTAGCACAGACCCACTAACAACAGACCTGCAAGATAATGACAGCACATCAATTTACCGCCATTCTCTGCCAATAATATGCACTTAAAAGTAATATTCATCTTATCAAACGCCCATTCATTTTCTTGTTAAGATATCTCTGCCTTGATCACTGGCCACCATCCAACCCACTTTGAAAGCCTTTTTATTTCTCTGACTGCTTCTAAGCATCAGCTGATCTAGACTGGTTTGTAAGTTAAGCCTTGACAAAGAGATAATTGCCTTTTTAATTTAAGGAATTAAAAACAAGAAAAGTCACTTGCAATTATATGATTAGAACCTTGCAGTGATAAATATCTTTGATTCTATTCCAATGTGTTTATATGATCTTATGAATCATTTTGTAACTCTTTCATGACTTCATATTTTCTTCTTGGCTTAAAAAAGCATTCACACTTTGTCCATTGATTTTTCTAATAAACTCTAATAATATTCTTGACTGTATTCTTCTATGTTTTGTTTATTTTTTATTGTTTTGCTCTTGGAATTATGTTATAGAATCTGAGTTACATCCAGTTCCAAAGTTAATGTGCTGGTAGAATTTCATCACTGTGGAAGAACAACTTAGTGGATGATAGACCTATTTTTTCCTCATGGTTTCTCTACATTGTTGCTTGGTCTCCTGTGCTTGGATAGAACAGGAAGGTGTCAAGAGCACATTGAGAAGGTGGTGATACCACATAGACAGAAAGCCAGAGCGAGGAGGTATGCGGGATCTCATATAACCTTCAAAGGCAAAGGCCCATTGACCTACTTCCTCCAACTAGGTTCCACCTCCTAAGGTTTACTGAGCATATGAACAGAATCATCATCTGAGGACCAAGCATTCAGTGCATGAGCCCATGGAGGGCATTTCATATTCAAACAATAACATGAGCAAACCTAACATGAGTTAAGCGACATGTGCTATGACAGGTAGTAGGGATAGCCAGAATCAAATCAAGGGCCTCTGATTGTCTGATCCTTGAGGTAAGATAGTCACAGGTACAGTTTTAGTTTAAGGAAAAATAGCACTGTAAGCTGAACACTAGGAAGCTGTATACTTCGCTTTCTTCTCAGGTGACATCATTGGTTCTCTGATTTTCAGTTCACCTTCATTCACAAAGCTCTTCCCAATTCGTTACTCACACCTTGATCTCTACCACCCACTCCTTAAGACCAGCAGTGTTTTTAAGAGCCCTACCAAACGATATGCACTCCAGCCAGACAAACGGTGAATGTCTTCAAATGCATTCATTGATCCAAATGTTCCCGCCACTGTCCTGAGACTTTGATGTGAATAGTTGCCCTAGGGAATGTTTATTGATGCCACGGGAACGCGCTTGTTTTTCTGGTCCTTATTCTTATATGACTGTGTGTAGCATTGGGAAACAGACAGAGTTTCACTTGCACTCACACATGGAAAGATAATTGTTTCAAGGTCAAAGCGGCATTAAGGAAATATAGGAGTGACAAATCCCAGAATTCAGGGCAAATTATTGATGCTAGCAGGCTTTGATCCTCCATGGTCTTTGAACCACCTGAGGGATCCAAAAATATACCTGAACTATGGGAGGGAAAGAACAACGAACTGAGAAAAATGAAAACTTTATTTCTAAGGTCAGTAAGGCTGTGAGGAGTGATCAATGGAGGAGGTGCTCCTAGGAGCAGGCTCCTATGAGCGAGGAGCTGAAAGAGAAAACAATAGACATTCTGAAAGAAAGAACAAAGAATGAAAAACAATGATAGAAAGGCTGGTGTTGCTACAGGAAGACAGGAATAATGAAAAGAAATAACTAAATAAATACCTTAGGGGACCTAGATGCCTCGTCTTCCCAGACACATGACAGAGATTCCCTGTAACACATTTCCAAAAATGTAAGTTAGAGAAAGAAAGAGACAGAGAGGAAAAGAGTCAGAGACACACACACACACACACACACACACAGAGAGAGAGAGAGAGAGAGAGAGAGAGAGACAGAGACAGAGACAGAGACAGAGACAGACAGAGAGTTTAGCCCAGAATATTTTTATTTTATTTCTGTTTATGGAAATAGAAAACAGAGGTCAGGGGCTGAGCATCACGTGGTCTTTGATATGAACATTATGCAGTAGATCTTACCAATAGAAACAGTAGATTGACTTCAGGGGTAATGAATCAGTATAGACATTTTCTAGAAGAACAACATCAACAGTCATTTGATATGCTCTTTCATCCAAGTCCCAAACTTAATTTTATTTTGTTGTCCATTCCTCTTTAATCAATTTATAGTAAACTCTGTAAGCATTGCATGTAATGGCTTGCTGAAATCCTCCCTCTAACATGCAGTTTAGAAACCGAACTCCTAGGTTTAGCTTATGTTTCATTTTTCAAAGAGAAAATAGCAAGTTCTAGAATACCATATACAGTTTAACTTTAAAAACTGTAAGAGAGGCATTATAAAGGTCATTACAGAAGTCATTGAGTTCAGGCATAGTAGGACTGGAAATTTATATTTATTTCTTGTTATCTTTGCAAAAAAACCCACCATCAATTTAGTGGCTTAAACAACACAAATTTATTATCTTTCCAGTTCTAGAGGTCAGATGTCAAAAATTCAGTATCATTGAACTTGAATCCAAGTGTTAAATTTTTTGTTGGTTGTACCTTTTCTGTAAGCCGTGGTTGGCATTTTCCGTTTTCTAGGGCAGCCCACCCTCCTTGCACAGTGACACTACATTATTTTGTCCATGTTTTCCATCTCCATCTTTATTGATCAGGACTCTGTGTTTACACTGAACAGCTACAAATCATCCAGAACAATCTCTCCCTCTTGAGATTCTTAATCATGTCCTCAAAACTCCTTCACCACAAAGAATGACATAGTCATAGGTTAGGACATGACCAGCTCTTAAGGACTGCTATCCTTCTCACAAGAAGAAACTTGATATGTTCAGAAGTAACTTACCCAGAGTGGGGAAAAATCCAGAATTAAATGGAATAATGTGACTATTTCTTCTAAAACGACATCTGTGGAAGTATTCCTAGACAAATAAAGAATAATTTGAAGTTACAAAAGTCAGAATGTTAAGATTTACAAGGCTATGTATAATAAAGTTTCACTATTCTTGTTTACTTGTCCAGCATCCTCTCAAGACTCAGAACTAGCTACTGGAGTGTTTGAACAGTTGGTTGGCAACTTTTAGAAACATGCTAACCCCCTAGTGAGCTTCTCTAACTATCGTAGTCAGAACCTGAAAAACCCCTCACTCAGGCACCACAGAAACCTGAGCACATCTAAAATTGGGTGTTGAATTTGAGGAACCACATCCTTCCTTTTGATACTATAATGTCATTGGTGTAGTGATTGTGATTACACCAATAAATTCATTTACAGATCAAGTTTATTTTATTTTGTAAAATTACAAAGTTGTTTAGTACTTCATCATCATTACAGAAAAAGATTATTAAGCAAACCAAATGAAATATTTGTTATGAATAATAGAGTAGGTGTAAATTGGCCACAATGTAGGTAAAAAATACTGACTTGGAATACATACCAAAATGAAACGTTTTATAATGGAAATTAAAACAATTGAGAAATTTAATGATGATGGAGTCATTAGATGCAAGAACTCAGAGGATATTGTAAAAATAGCATTTTGAGGGAAACCTATAGTCTTTAATTATTTATTTATTCTACAAAAAAACGCTTTAAAAAAGATAAATTTAGCATTTTGTTAAAAGTTTGAGAATGAAACAAAAGCAATTAGAAGGACCTGTGTGTTGATTTAAATTAAGGAACTAGGTGATAAATTTAAAATCAAGGAAATCAAGAAAATCCAAGTTCTGTGCATATTAAAATGTTCTAAAGGAAATTATCTTCAGATAATACTTGTCTGAGAAAGAACCTATTTGATTAATATTGTGACTGAATAAAAAGTGACATATATTTCAGAGAATGCTCAATACATGAAGCTGAAACTATGAAAGTGGCTCCCTACACACCTCATTTACAAAAATACAATCTGAGTTAATTAAGGGCTTAAAATCTACACAGAAAAATTAAACCCGAAATTTCAAAGATGTCTTGTGAGTTAAAAGCACTGGATGCTCTTCCAGAGGACCAAAAATACTCATATAAAGGTTCACAGCCTTCTGTAACTCTAGTCCCAGGAGATCCAATGCCTACTTCTGGCCTCTACAGGCACTGAAATGTTTGGTACACAGACATGCATGCAGGAAAAATACCCACACAGACAAAATAAAAATAAATAAAAAGTAAAAAATGTTTTTCGGTTTTGTCTTTATTTTTTTTTTCCTTTTGTTGATGTTAAGTTGGGAGCTTCACCAGAGTCCCTGGCATCCATTCCAGCTCCCTCCCCAGGCCAGGGGTCTGAACTCCAAACCCCAGCATGCCAGGTTCCTCGGGGAGGTATCAGGACCACTCCCATAAGGTATTTAAGTGGGCACCTCACATGGTACCAGGTTTTGCATGTGCTCTCCCGTTTTCTTTCTCCCCTGTCATGCTCTCAGTCACCCGAGAGTGCTGTATCTAATAAAACATGAGCATTTTAATTCGGTTTGATTTGACCTGATTGAATTTCTTTGTGCCGATGGATCAGCTCATCTTGGATTTTTCCTAATATATGGGGGTCCCACCAAGGGGGTTCATTTTTTTCTGCAGGCCCAGGGCCCAGGGCTGTGCTGAAAAACGTCCTTTCCGTGCGCTCCACCAGGCATATCGGCTTCACTTGGTGAGTTCCCCTTTTTAAACTGCATGCGGATAGGGTTTTAGTGGTAACCCATTCACTTTTCGCTTTGGGGGCTTTTGTTGAAGTCTTCGCCGTACCTAAAACCTGATCCACACTGGGAAAGCCAGAGCCATTCGTTGAGATGGGATTTGGGTACAGGAAGACATCGTCCCTCAGTCACTTCCCATGCACCCTGTGTGTGACTCAAGGACTCTGTTCAATGGAGGTATCGCAATGGGCTCGAG